TAATATGATGACAGTACTGATGGCCATTCCAGAAAAAGAGTTCCAAAATTGCTTCGAATGGTGGACTAGGCGCTGGCATGAGTACATAGCTTCCCAAGGGGAGTACTTCGAAGGTGACCGTAGTGATCTTCAGCAATGAGGTATGTAGCACTTTTTCTAGGATGAGTTCGCGAACTTAGTTGTCTGACCTCGTATGTTTTGCTGTGCAGTTTTGGACAGGTTAGGATGGAACTGCAGAACCCTCTGCATTTCTTTACGCCTATGTCTGGACTTCCAATAATGGGAGGCAGAAGTTAAACCTGGATGACAGACTGTGGTAGGGTTAAGGGGACCCAACAAAGGCCGGGGAAACCCCCCAGGCATAGCAGTGGGGAGCAGGACCTATTAGGGCTCCTAAGCCTAAAGGGGTGAAGGAAAGTGTGGTTACAGGACGCAGGAGAGTAGTGATAGGAGAGGGACAATGCCAACCGCAGTGACTCAGCGGGGGCGGGGGAACAGAGGGAAGGAACACTCAGATTGGACAATATTCCCAACTGTTCATTTCTCACCAGTGCCTTCCAGTGGCCAACCCAGCCAGAAGACAGAGGACGTGGGAGCTCACTGATGCCCCACTGGGGGCATAAGGCAGGGGGCACAAGAGCTGTGGAGGGCCCGAGGGGCAATAACCCAGCGCAGAGATCTGCGTCAAGGTTTCAATGGCTGCCCCTATTCCATTGTACCTAGTGCCACAGTTTACATAACAAACCCCACACGGGTGGATATTTAGTTTGTTTTCAATTTTTCGTTAGTGTAAATGAATGGAGTAACTTCGGAAGTCTGTATCAGCTAAGACACTGTGTATATCCATAATTATTTCTTTAGGATGAATTCCTAGAAGCAAGATTATTAAGCTAAAGCATGTGCACATCTTGTGTTCCTGTCATTGTTAGATTTATTTCCAGAAAGCTTATGCCCATTTATAATCTACCCAATAGTGCATGCAAGTGTTCATTCCCTTATACCTTTGCAAAAAGTTTTTGTCAGCTTGATATCTCTTTTCTAATCTGATAGATAAAGAAAAAGCTCTTGTAGTTTAAAATTACTTATGAGCATCTTTTTCTAAGTTAATTGGCTATTACACAATTTTTATCTAGTATATGTCATCTTAATACTGGGATCCAAACAAAAAAATGAGGAGAAGTAAGAAATTGTTACATTGTTACAATTACCTCATGGGATGCAGTCAGCTCCTTAGCAAACATGATACCCAAAAATATAGATTATTCACAGTTGATATTTTCCCCCTTGGTCATTACACAGATAACTATGTCACGAGCATCTTCCGAGGCGAGTAATGCCGTGGAGTTTAGAACTAGGTGTGAGTGTGCTGACTTGCCCATGGACACGCATGGGGCACTTTACCCACACGGGCAATGATAAAGCATAAGTCGAATTCTTCTTTCACACAAGAGCTCTTTAAAGTTCCTCTTTTCTAAGTTAAACATGTGAAGTTTCTTTTCGAGGGTGCCATACTCTACCATCCTGTTTGCTCTTCTCCAAACGCCTTCCAATATGATAATATTCTACTTAGAAAGTGGTGCTGTTGGCATGGGCGTGGGTAAGCAAGTCCTCCCACCCACTCTGGTCAGAGTGGGAATCTGAACAGATACATCACACGGCGAGCTGGCTGGCAGCTCCCTTCCACAGTTAAGCTCACATACGTAAGCAGTGATTCTGCCTTTTCCCATCTCTTAGAGAAATAAGCAGACACACAGCAGGTGGCACTGGGCATCGGGCAATCGGTCCATTTACAATAGGCTGGCGGTTGGCACTAAAGGAAACTGGACCCTGTGGGCTAGAGTGAGGGTCAGCCTCCAGGACCCAGAATCAGAGCAAGGCAGAGACGCTGAGCCGGAAGCCAAGCCGTGTGGTCCAAGCCAGCACAGCGATGAGCACAAATGGGCCGTGAGTCAGAATTTCACTTCAGGCTCTCAGGATGTCTGGTGGGTGACAGAAGAATTGGTTCCACATTTCCCACTGCCAACAAACCCAGCGTGCTGTGACGGCTGCTCTCCTCTCTAACCTGGCGGGCACAGGAGAGTAGCCAGGAAGGGCTGGAGTTGAGGGAACTGGAAACCACTGACCTACATCTAGAATATCCTCTCCACCCCTACAAAAGATGAAGTATTAATATGATTCAGTGGCTTTCAGATGGCTCCATTTCTAAATTTGAAAACTATAATTTTAAAGACAGCGTTTTGATGTGGACTGACATCCAGCCTGCCTTCGTGATTCCCAGACTCCTCTCCGCACCTCCACCCACTCTGCCTGCTTTTTGAAAACAGCACCATTTGCCTGCCTCCAAACTCAGGGTTGCCACCCTGTTCCCACAATCCCTCCCCATCCGTGGCGGCCTTGGCCTCTGGTTACCCAGCTGTGGGAGGGAGAGCACGTGGACAGCAGTCCTGACAGCCGAAATCACCCATCGCCACTACTTTTGTCTCTGCCAGTTTTTCCTCTGAGTTAAACTGCCTGCGAGGATGGCTGTCTCATAAGAATCCGAGTTTTCTTTCTCACTGTATTCCCAACTGAAATGATCTCACAAGGAGCCCACTCTCTGCCTCTATCGGCAGCTCGGATCTGCCGGTGAGGCGGTGCTTGAGCCCTGGATGTGAGGGCCAGATGGCTGCATCGAAACCCTACTTCCTTCCCTTCCCTTTCAGTCTACAGTCTGAAACATACAGACAATAACACTACCTTGACCTTGCGCGACCGTATGTGACATAGAGGAAGCGCCCCTACAGGGCAGCTGGTGTTTCTGCTCGACGTGGTGCATGGCCTTCCACTGCCACTTTCTAGCTGTTCATCCCGTTTCATAGCATCTTCCTTTGTCCGACACAGCCTTCATCCCCTCGTGCTAAAATGTCAAGTTCACGTCTTCCTAACNTGTAGACATGGGTGGGTTCAAGTTAAAATTTTTGTATTCGGCTTTTGTTTCATTTGTATGACTGTGAAGTTACTTGAACTTATCGAATATGTACAGATTCTTCAGGAAAGATATTTTCTACTTTCAGATGGAAATCTTGCTTTCCTATTGGGAATTCAGGTGGACTGCTAGCTCGAAGTTACTGCATTGAACAGTGGCTTAAACGAAGCAGGGGTTTTGTTCTCCAGTGACAAAGAGGTTGGGGGTGATTGCTTTCGTTGGTTCAGCATCTCACAGATGTCAGAGTCAAGGTGGCCCCTGGGGTTCCCTCGGCCTTTCCCTCAGGTGGCTGCAGTTCCCCTAAAGAAGCAGAGGAAGCCCAAAGGACATGCCAGTTCGAATGTGCTCCCTTTTAGAGAGCTCTCTCAGCCGCCCAGCAACTTCTGCTTACATCTCCGGCCAGACTGTCACAGGCTACTGCCATCTGCAGAGCGGCCTGAGAGATGTAGTTCTTGTAGGCGAGCCTATAACTGCCTTCAACAAAAGCCTGAGTTCTCATCAAAGGGAAGACGATGATGATGATGGGTTTTGGGTGAACAACGAGCCTGTGCCCTGGCTACAAAGTCCAGCTGTAAAGGGCACAGTCTTGGGGACAGATCAGCACTGGAGCACCCTCACAGCTGGCAGCCCGCCCAGCCTGCGCTGCTCCGAGAGAGGAGAGAGCGCGGAGTGAAGCCCGGCTAGACTTCCTCGCCGGCACTTGCCAGGACTGACCTGGACTCTCAGCCAGTACACTTGCCCACATCAGGATTTCCTAGAGGAGGGCCCTGGGAGCGTGCACGCTTTCTTGCTTGGACGGACTCTGTGTGGAGGCTTGGAACGGGGTGAAGACTATTCCTACCTTGCTGCTTCCTCATCGGCTTCATTTCTCTGATCCAACTTCCCTGACAGATTTTTGGAGGAGTCTGGCTTGTGTATGTGATCTCCATACAAGGATCATCCCTTTCATGCCCAGAGGAGGGTGTTCTATGTAAAGAAAACTGCTTTGCCCTCTTTGGTGCCTCCACTACCGATCTAGGAATCTCCTGTGAGAAAAACTGCTTCTCAATGCTGCTTCCATAAGCAGCCCACACCCTGGCTAAGCAAAGGGAGAAGAAACACTTCCCACGACCAGGGCTGTTCAAAAGAATTTTCTGTGATGACAGAAATGGTCTCTGTCTGCGCTGTCCAACATGGTAGCCATGAGACACGTGTGGCCAGCAAATGCTTGAAGTGTGGCTAGCGTGACTGGGGAAGTAAATTTTAGTTTTATGAAATTTACGTGTAATTGGCCACAGCTGACTAGTGGCTGCGGTGTTGGACAGCACGGCACACGCCTTCCCTCTGTTGTGTGTTAGCGCTGGCTGGGAGGGCTCTGAACCAGCCCTGTGCCTGTGTCCCATGGGCTGCTCTGCTCCCTCTTGCCCTTGAAATTGTCTCCCAGAGGAAGAGGAAAAAATGGAACTATATTCAAGATGCTAGCTGGACATCTATTCTTCGCATGCATACTGCAGAGTGGCCTCCGGGAATCGGTCCTGAGATTGATTTTAGTGACTATCGATAATGGGGAAACAGTGGTACTGATCCACGTAACACTCCTAGTGAACAGTATGTGTCCCCAGTCATATTAAGTCAGCAGGGATTACTTTATTCTACTGTGCAATTCCTTCTGTGTTACTTTATCTTTGTTATATTGTGGCTGCTAACTGATTATTCCGTGTGTTTTTCAAAATATTTAGTGGTTTATATTTTTTAAAAGGCTGTGAAATATAAAAAAAATTATATGTAACACAGTTTGTGTGTGTGTGTGTGTGCGCGCGAATTATTACCCATATTTTTTAAAGAGTTAATTGGGCTGAGCTTAATAGACAGAAGAGAATACTTACTTTCATATCAGATTTATTTTTAAATGGGCACATCTGTATGCCAATTAATGTATCTTTTTAAAATATTAAATTACTTTCATTGTATTCAGAGTTAGGGTAAAATATGAGGGTGGTGATGGTAGTGGGTTCATTCTTTTATCAAATGTNACCTTTCAGCTGCTTTTTCCTAGGTTTACATCGTCTGGCGCTCTGGGGTCGAGCTGCTGCCCTGGGCGGGTGCACCGAGGACGGACTCCTCAGTTACAGCCGGGTAACCGGGACCTGCCCAGAGGGAGCCCCAAAACCAGAGGGAGAAGTTTTCTGCGAATGGTAAGCGGGGAACCACCCTTGGTTTCACTGTGTCCCTGGTTATGGCTAAACGTATAAAGACTCGGGGCCTAAAAGTGAGAGACTAGGATGGAGGAAATGGGTGCAATGAAATAAAGGGCCCACACACACACACACACACACTCAGAACCGGTGAGCTGCTCCTGCAATCAAGGAGCCAAACTGGTTCCTAACTCAGTGCCAGGACCAGTGTCCAGGGAGAGGATCACAGAAGTTAGTTAGAGTGGGAGGTGGGCAGTGGCTGCAGCTTTAATCATCACTTTGCTTTTTTGGAAAACAGCGCAAGGGTTCTTGAAGGTAAAATAGGTAATGCAGATGTAATTTGTCTTCAGGAGGGAAAATAGGGTTCAGTCACGTTAGGATGGGAGAAGCTGACCATGTCAGGACTGTAATATTGAAAACACTCATTTTTAGGCACAAAGAAAGACCACGTTGAGAGGCTAAAAACAAAATACTAAGTTTTGCCTAAGTTGATAATATGAAAGTGGAGTGGAAGACAATTATTTTGATAATCCAAGGAACGGAAAAAATAGTCCCACTTAGGTGCCAAAGATGGGGAAAGGTTTTGGCCTGAGACATTCAGATAGTTGCCCACATTTTCTGTTTCATTTTGCTGGAACAGACCTGTTGTTACTGAAGTAAGTGGCTTGTTTAAATATAACGTCATGAGCAAATCCTCACATATACACCGCTGTTTAGCAGAGCTCTAGTCATACGTGATCTGAATTCCCACCTTGAACCCAGAATCAACTGCCATGAGTGCATATCGTACTTGGAACAATACTCCTCTCGTTGGTCGACTGCTCTGCAGTGGAGTCTAGTTACAGGGTTGTGTGGTTAGCAGGGATGAGTGTGGGGGTGATTAATTAGCAATTATAGTTGTTTACAAGAATGGACAACAATCATTCCACACTTAAGAAATGACCGAGATGCAAATTATTTTAACCTCCTGCTTGACTTCCTGATTTTGTAATCCTTTGTTCTTTCCAGCAGGGCCACTGGTCCAGAGGTCTAGCCCCCCCTGGCTCCTCTAGACAGGAGACTGGAGAACCGGGGTGAGCAGTTTGCTGCCATCCCAGCACTAAGCCAATCTGTCTGCGAGTCCTGCCCACTGGTTCCCTCCGAA